TTCGTTCGATTATCATCGAACGACTGGATTTTGATTTTTAGATAAAGGAGAATATTTTATACTGATAATGGAAATAACCTGAAGAGGCTGTGCTTCTTATAAATTTAGATAGGAAAATTTCTTTCTATTTAATATAGCAATTCTTTGACCGAATTGCTTCCAATATTCACTGATTTTAAAATAAAATCTCTATAAATTAGGCAAAACGTGTTGCTTCTTAAATTTATCAATTTCACGATCTTGAATGATTTCCAAGTTGCCATTACAATCTGGTATTTATATTTTCACTTACATATCTTTATTCCGATGATTCTTTCAACTTCAATATGTCTCTAAAAATCATATACGTTTACTTCACGACTGCTTGGAAAATAATTTAATTTAAACTCGTTAATCTACTCTTTATCTTAACTTCAGCTTTATTAAGTATTTCAAAGTGATTTTAGATATTTTGAAACTAAACCTTTAATATGGTACTATTATGACATTGAATTAAGATGTTCACTAAAAATGGCCGACCTTCTACATCATTATGATTTACATTTTTTAATTAATATTTGTGTAAATTCAACAGCTTCTGTTACTTTTATTAGAAATAAAACGCGAACAATAAATGTGTTTATTTATTTGTAAAATTCTTAATTAATAAATATTTTTCGGAAAACTATTGTCTAAAAAATCCGATTTATACGTGTATTTTCGTTACTTTCATATACGTACATAATGTTTCGTAAATTTGTATATAGTACATACGAGATAGAAATACAAGTTAATTAAAGTACATCTTTAAAATATAAATTATTAAAAGCATATTAATGTTTTTATATATAACCATAATAATATCGGTATATATATATATATATATAATTTTATTAATTCTTGCATTTCAATTTATAACAAATTTACACGCTATGTGTTCTAAGAGTTTATTGATATATTGATATCTTCCAAATTCAAATTATAATTTATTTTATCCTAATATATGGAGACCAGCAAAACTATACTTTTAAAAATATTGTTACCTTTCTTATAAATGTTAAAAATTTATTCTTACATTTTACGTTAGCTTTTATTTATACTCGTAAATCAATAAACTTATAATATGCTTAAAATAGTTTTCAAACACATACATCTTTGATTGTTGAATAGGAAGCATTTAAGAGCAATTTGTAGTAAATAATTATAAAAATATGCGAATGTATGTAGTAAATAGGTGTACGTATGAAAACTGAAAGTGAATGCGTTACTATTTTCAATTTCAATAATATTTTAACTTTTAATAAACTAGATAAAAACTTGAAAAACTTGAAAAATATTTATTTCATAAACATTATTAACTGATTTGTATTTGTACCTCTCCTCCCCCCTCCCCATCCCCCCCACCCTCCTCCCACCACCCCGCCCCGGACCTCCGCCCTTCCCTATAAACATGCATACGCATAAATGTACACATTTCTTTTTATTGATATGCGTGTGTGTATCTGCACGGGCATGTGTTTATTTACACACGTGGACAAATTAACAAATTCTACGAACAATATTTTTGTGTTAAAATTTATGCATTCATATTCATTTAACAAAACGGTTAAAATTCTCTTAAAAATTGCATCAGTCAATTATGAAACTTCTTATGCCGGATGCTCGGTCGTCTGCAGCTTGTTGATCTAAAGATTAAGAGGCATCATTCCCGATTTGTATTCTTGGCCTGAACTGGATACGACAGAACCTATACGTAGCGACTGACGAGAGTGTGTTTAGCTCTTACACACTTAAAGGCTTCGAGTCTCGCGTGGTTTGGTGCGGGACTTTCGTCAGTCATTCATAGATACCAATGAAATTGTGGCTCGCGTTTACATCATCAAATAACGTCTTGAACGCAACCGTGACCTTACGTTTCTTTAATTCTCGTTAAAGCCAAGCTTTTACAAGTATTTAATGATTAGATATTTTTTTTTTTTTTTTCATCTTACATCATTCGTGAAATGGCAAATTTTACAAATCTAATAATGGAGAATATATGTTTTAACTAGCTTTTTTTATATTTATGTCTCATGAAATGACACAAAAGCGTTTTGCAAGATTCAATTGAAACTAAAAAATATTTTTAACGCGCATATTACTAAATGGCTGGCTTAATTTAATGTGAAATTAATGCGTTTTACAAATATATCATTTATCATCATTACTCCACTGTATATAAAGAAAACCGGCACGAGTTTACATACAATTTTACACGTAAAATTATAAATTATTATAATTACTAGATATTATATATTCTGTAAACAATTTTTCAACAAGTAATATTACTTTTAAAAAAGACTTCATTTCAATTCATTGCAATTTATATTTCTAGTCTAACGAAACATGTTTCTTTATACATTTTGCACTTTGCATTATTTATAAAATTATTTCAAACTTAACTTGGAAGTTCATCTTAATTTGTGAGATTTCGTATTGGATAATTAATGTAATTATGCGAAGTAAATGAAAGTACATTTGTCTTTAGTGATTATACCGAATTTAAGATTTTTTTGTATTATGTAAATTGTTTCTATTAAATTTTCACTTAAAATTATAAATGTAATATGTGTCTTAGGTTGAACAAATATGTTGAAACAATTTAATAATTAAAGCTCTTTGTAGTCTAGTTTACCTTAATACTATTTCAATATATTGCAAATTTATATAAAAATAATATGTAATATCGCCTATCATTCAATTATTCAATATTTTATGAAATGTTGTTGTTGTTGTTTTTATTTTTGTTTTAAAAAATAATTCATAGGTTAAATTAATATACATAATTAAGCATATAATTTATAAATTTCTTACAGACACAAATATTTTTATTAGCATATTTACAGTAATGATTATCGAGAAAAGTATGAAATTAATTACTGTATCTTGCGGGTATTCTTTGCGATTTCACTATAAATACTTTTGATAAAAGGATCATTTATTTAATTTGAACGAGTTGCGCTAAATTAATCGTCTAAAATTCATTTTAAATGCATCTTCAGCATGTGATAATAACTTTGTGAAAAGGGGTTTAATAAAATACATAAAATAGTAAACGTAATTTTGTATATTAAGAGTAGTTAGTATACCAGTAAGCAAAAAAAAATGTAATATATAAATAAATGTTTTATTATAATAGTGGGCGTATTGTAAATTATATGCCAGCAATTGAAAATAATTCAACGAATCTCTAGGAAACGTTTATAAATGTAACTCGCAGTAATATAAAGTCATGTTCTCCATATTCTCTCGTAGCGCATAAAGTTCAATTAATCTATTAAACTTGTCATTCTGATTATTATTACTTCTGATTATCGTTACTGATTCTGCATAATGTGACACTATGAGTTTTCAGTGGTACCAATGTAGCATGCAAAAAACATTAACAAAACACCGTATGGGGATACAGAATTCTTCGTGTCCATCTTTGTATTTTATTCTGTCAGGTTGACAACAACTATATTTATTATACAGATCTTTATTTCCTAACATTTATAAAGTTTACTTTTTATACATTGTTCTATTTATTAAAAAAAAAAAAAGAAAAAAAAAGAATTGATAAAAACAACTATTCAATATGGACTAGTTGAATAATAGTTTATGTATTCGATATTTATATTTACAACATTTGCATAATAAATTATGATATAGGCAATGGCATCATCTAGTTTAATTAAAACTAATTAAATAGAGATTTTAACATTTAGTTTTACAATTTTAAAAATTTTTTCTTTTATATCTTATAATAGATACATTTACGCCAAAGTATGTGAAAGCTCATAGTTTATATGGAAGATTTTTGTAACGAAGAGAATAATTTTCTTCATTCGTTGTCTTCCGAATTTTCAATTAGCCATTTGAATTTTCATGATTATTTAATGTTTAATATATTGGTTAAGTATACCGTTAAGTATATTGGTGAAGTATACATATTTGGCTCCAAATGTCATTGTCATTTTGTCACTCTTTAATATCGATAATTAATTATTAATATAAAAAATACATAATATTATGATTAATGTTATAATTATTAAGAGTAAAGACTTTTATGATTTGAGGATATTGAGATTCACTGCTCTTAATCTATCATTTGAGATTTTATCAATGAATTCTGTGTATTTAATGATGTAATGCAATCTTCGTTATAAAATACATATCTCATATTTACAACTTATTATACTATTCATTTATTTATTTGTATTTCCCATATCCTAAACGCGCACATTAATGATAGAAGTAATAAATTAAGATTATGAACACTTAATGTAATAAAAAATGTAAAACATTATGGGAAAAAAATCTTGTATAAAATTATAATATATTGATAGAGTCGTAATGTTTTTCAATGCTTATAACTTTTTTATTATTATTATTTTTTTTACATTAAAAAAATATCGTATGAATAACGCTCGCTGCTACTATGTACTGTGTAAAAATGGAGATAAATTTAATTGCAATTTGTATCTCCATATTTCATATATATATACATACATATATATATATATATATATATATATATATATATATATATAGACATAGTCCAACCTACATTTTTGTATTTATAATAAAAATAAAAACGTAAGCAAAGCGAAAAAAACATGCTGAAAATGAAATTACACTTTTGAAAATGAATTGACACTGCATTGCAGGAATTTTGAAAGCATCGGCTTGATATAGTTAAAGTCACCGGAACTCTATATCATTTCCATTATTTATCTTTGAAGATGGCATCCGTAGCCTGATTATAGAGAGCTTTGGCTAAAAACCACCATGAATTAATAAGGCAAGAGCGATAAAATGTTAGCAGGCAAAACTATTGGCAGGGAGAGGCAATTAATAAACAGTCTAGATTGGCACTCTCGTGAAAATCCCAATAGCGTACAACTTGTTTTGTTTTGGATATGTTAATGCCATCTGACGCAATCGTATCGGTAAATATAAAAGCCGGCGCGGGGCCGGCGTCGGATCAGTATGATCACGAGCATGCCAAGGCGTAAGATCCCGAACCTCTGGCACAGCAACGGCTTATCTGCTGCTTCTCTCGACTTTTTACTTTGGTAAACGCGACGTCGTACCTCTCGTTTCGTATTTAGGCGGAAGTTGTAGAGTCTCGGGGCGTTCGGCAGTGGTCGCACGCACGAGACTTTTCTTTGGCGACGAATTTGATTTGATCGCGCCGAATAATTCGAGCACCGCAATTATGAATAAATTCAACGGGAATAAGTTCAAGATGGATTATTCGCAATTCAAAACGGAAGTTTCCAAGCGCAGAAGATCGGCCGCTACGAGAGAACTGAGTGAGTCGAGTTGAAATTTGGTTGAAAGAAAGCGAAAGCCTTGTATGTATACATGTATATATATAGAGAGATGGAGAGAGAGATGGAGAGAGAGAGAGAGAGAGAGAGAGAGAATATGTGTGTGTATGTGCACGAGAGAGTTTGTGCGAGAGAGAGAGAGAGAGAGAGAGAGAGAGAGAGAGAGAGAGAGAGAGTTGTAACGGTAAGGTTATTAAGCGATATTATACTATCGCCGTAACTAATGAAAATTTGAAATATGTTTGAAGAATTACGACAACTATAGAAGATATTATAGTATTAGTAGATAAAGATTTTGTGGATGCGCAGTATGCACGCGCGCGCGCGTAAAATTACGAAAGAGAGTTGAGATGTATGGAATTTCGATGAAAGTTACACAGTTATAAGTTATCACCTTAAGCATTATTAAGGGAAAATAATAGTATTATTAGTGTAAATAATTTGACGGATTGTGTTCACATAATTGTCTTGACGACATCATACGACTTTTAATTAACATCCACTTTTAATTCTGAAAAATAAAACGTAACATAGGAATTGCATCGCGCAAAAGTCAAGCACACGCAATGAGATGCACGAGAACGATTTTATTAATTGGTTGCTTAAATATAAAAGATACGTCTCTGTTCTTTTGACGATAATTATACGTCGCAGTGAGAAAATAAAACATGCTTGCTCGTTTAGTTTTTTCTTCTCAATTTGCTTATAGTCAGCAACTTACAGTCGGCCACTACTCATTCCGTCACACAATGATTAAACGTTAAACGCAACAGAAATCTTTAATTAATAACATGAAAATAACGATTTCTATTCATTACTCCTATTTGGACTAACTACGAGCTTAACATAATAACATCGCATTATTAATTGAACATGATGAACAGCCATCGATTGTACGCGCTAATTGAATAATAATCAAACGCTCCTCCAACGCTATTTCTTTGGCGCGAGCGTAACTTACGGAATGGAATGGAATAATGAAGGGCAAGCCACGCTCTTATAATCAGATAACTTCCATCCGAATTTTCAATCCCGCAGCAAAAATCGCCTACTCGACGCCGCACAGCGTCATTTCTCTGGCCGAGGGGATGCCAAACGAGGAAACCTTCCCGTTCACGGAGATCTCCATAAAGCTGAACGACGGCTCCGATTTCGTGCTCGAAGGCAATGAGCTCGCTGCGGCTCTCCAATACATTCCCAGCCAGGGCTTTCCGCCTCTTCTGCAGGTACGTCCTTAAATCGATCGGGTCAGGCTGTATAGGGGAGCGACTGCAGGAGGGATTGTTTTTCGAATCTCGAGCATTTTACTCTCGTCTTTTAAAAGTCGAATGCTTGAAATGCCGAGTGGTAAATTACGTGCTCGTGCCGTTCGCGAGTTCCGGCAGTGCAGCGTAGTCACGTGATGCATGTAGCATCGATAATAAATGCCACAATCTTTGCCAAAATCGAGTCGATCGACTTCCGCGACAATGGAGGAAAAAAAAAAAGAAAAAGAAAAAGAAAAAGAAAAGAAGAACGTCACGTGCTATAATGATGACAATGACGTTAGTAAGCCCGCGAGATGGGAAATATCGTAATACGAATAATTAATTATTGGGCGATGCATTGATGTTAATTGTTGGACAGGTAATGCACGCTTAATTCGACATTCCGTGCGTCAAGTGGAATAATCTTGTGAAAATAATCTCTTTTTAGGTAATAAGAGAGTTTCAAAGGAAAGCACACGCCCCACCACTGTGGGATAGTCGCGAAGTCTTGATTGTAGCAGGTGGACAGGACGGACTGAGCAAAGCACTCGAAGCTATTATCGGACCCGGTGATCCGATTTTAGTGCAAAATCCGGTTTATCCGGGCGTTAATGTAGTGGTAAGTTTTCATCTTTATTTTCTTCTTTATTCGTGTCCGATAAGCGAGGTGATATAAGCAGAGCGTAAATATTATATTTTCGTCTTGGCGATGATATAAACGAGTGCGCGAATTTTTTTTACAGCCCAACTCAAGCGCAATAATAGAACCTAATAATAATTAGGCTGATGAACGTGATGCAAAAGCTTATTCAATTATTGCGCGCAAAATTGAAATGACAATATTTAAAACGATCGAGCGCGTAATTTTCTATGTAAATTGACCTAGGTATTTTGTCAATCGATAAACATATAGTCAATTCAATTACGCTTATCGGATTTTTTTCTATAAAATTTACGATAAAGTGAAACATCAACAAATATCCGTGATCTTTATCGACCGGAAAATTAATACTCCTTACTTAAGCTAATCTTTTTAAATATTTAAACGTATATACACTGTTGAAAGTAATCTAAAAATTAACGTATAAATTGGCTGCGTACATTTATTTTGCTTAAATACGACACTTTTAAATTACCTACTCAATTTAAACTTTAAGTGGAAAATAGTTTACGTTGTGCATGAGACAAATTTCATTCATTTGATATACGCGCCCGTGTACGTGTCTCTTTACGCGCACTGTTAATAATTCTAATAGCATAGAGCAATTTTAAATGATAAACAAAATATAATATAAAAGAAAATAAATAACAAACAAACAAAAAAAAAAAAAAAAAAAAAAAAAAAAAAAAAAAAAAAAAAAAAAAAAAAAAAAAAAAAAAAAAAAAAAAAAAAAAAAAAGATACATGGAATAAAGAGTCAACGTATATGGGAGTGAGTTAAGAATTGGATTGATAATTAAATTGAAACAATTAGAGACGAGATCGTTTACATTGTTATGTAGTTGTTGGTTAAAGTAGGAGAAGCAACCTTTTTCTCCGACAAAATTCCATCCAGCGGTATTAATAACGAGAAGAAACGATAAAATAGCAATCGCAAATGCCGTGCTCGAGCGATTTACGCCAGCTAGGTATTATTCTCCTGGCTATTGTCGAAAAGTGAAAAATAAAGACGCGCGTACAAGTAGTGGTGGTCGACAAAGCACCATCCTTATCATAATTTAAAACGTTCTCCCAAAGATTACGCCTCACAACGCGGAGCTCATCCCGATCGAGCAGGACGATTACGGTGTAATACCGATCTGCTTGCGCAAGCGGCTACAGGAGCGCGAGGCTTCTAGTCTGAAGATGCCAAAGATTATGTATATTAACGCGACCGGCGCCAATCCAACCGGCACAGTCATGCCCCTGGAGAGGAGGAAGCAGATCTACAGGATAGCCTGCGAGTACAATTTCCTCATCCTCGACGACGATCCCTATCACTTTATGTACTTCACCGACGTGAGTAAATTCAGAGCAGCTGCTCTCCCTTCGAGAGCCCACCCCTCCTTTCATATATTTACACTGCTTATTCGATGAAGAGAAATAATCAGATTTAGCCGTAAAAAGTAAATTGTTGAGCGTGAGGCACTCGGAGCTCGGGAAATGAATATTTTAATTATAAGAAATTTCAAATCATTATTACGCTCAATGTTTCTTATTGATTGGTATAGTTAATGTGAAATCATTCGATCCGCGTAAGACTATTATCATTTAATCAGAATGAGAATGATATAAAAAATAAAAAAACCAAATTAAAGAAATGAAAAAAGAAGATGAATAAGCAAAAGAAGATGAAGACGATGAATATTAAGAAGACGACGACGACGACGACGACGACGACGACGACGACGACGACGACGACGACGACGACGACGACGACGACGACGACGACGACGACGACGACGACGACGACGACGACGACGACGACGACGACGACGACGACGACGACGACGACGACGACGACGACGACGACGACGACGACGACGACGACGACGACGATGATGATGATGATGACGATGTAGAAGAAAAAGAAGAAGAATAAGGAGAAAAAGTGAAAAAGAAAAAAAAAAAGACGGTTATAAGCTTCTTCAATTAAAATGTTTACGCGAATAACCAATTCGCAAACGACGCTACTTAATTACAGTAAAAACACAAGTACACTCGATTAAATTGAAATATGGGATTCTCGCTTATCTCATAACCTCCGTGTTAATTTGATTAATGCTGAACGGCTATTGCTTGAGTAGTTAAACACACGCTCAACTAGAGCATATTATCATTAAAATTTGTAAATCTTTGCGCAGAATCGAGCTTTTGGCGTTAACACGCGCTTCACGCCAATAATCTAAACGATATTCAATTAGCTTACTTAATCAAATCTATCTAATCGACTATTACGCTATTATTTATTTATTAATTTATTTATTATCAAAATAATTAGCATCGCTATTATCTATTATTATCTATTATCGTTATCAAATATCATGGCTATTATCTATAACTACAAGTACTTTATTCTGATTATTATTCACGTATTCGTGTATTCATTCGTTCGTTCGTTCGTTCGTTCGTTCGTTAACTCATTTATTTATTTATTAATTTATTTATTAATTTATTTATTCACTCATTTATTCATTCACTTATTTATTTATTTATTTATATATATTTATAAATGTATATTATTGTAATTGTTATTGTTGTGATTATTGCAGGAAGCGCCGAGATCGTTCCTATCATTGGATACGGAGGGGCGCGTGATAAGGTTGGACTCGTTCTCGAAAGTCTTGAGCAGTGGCTTGAGAATTGGCGTAATCACGGCAGCTTCGCCTTTGGTAGCGAGTATCGAGCTACACATGCAAAGCAGTCATCTACATGCTCCAACCTTGTCTCAGGTTAGTCATGTCGTTGATATATTGTGCGTGTGGTAATAATCAGTGACTAAGTAACTAAGCGCAATTGCCATGCTGCTTTACCGTTAATTGTCAAAGTTGCGCGGAGAGTTTGTTGGCTCGTTTATAATTATCACTGCCTCGGTGAACCGTAATTCTTTTAAAACCAAGCATCGCTTCCTCGTATTGCATTCGCCGAGCGCGAACTTTGAACTTTCCTACGTAATTGAAGAATCGAAAGTCGTAGTGTGACGTTGAATTTTCAATGGCAGTAGTGCTTGCGCAAAGCCGCGCGCACTTTTCTTCGACGATCGTCAGTAATATCTTGTGCAATTGTGACGATACTCACTCACCAGCGGCTTCGTTCTCTCGCTTCATTTATTTATTAACAATTACTTTACCCCTGCTCGGAATATTAACAATATGTGCATAAAATGCAGCTAGAGGCTCGCTGCATATTGCCGGTCTACGAGTTTCACTAGCGACTGTAAAATACATATTATCAATTGTATTCACTTAAAGCGATTATTGAACTTTCTGGCTTTCAACGGTCACTTAAGAAGCCCAATTAATTTCCAGTTTGATTCTACGAAGAGTTTCAATTTATTTATTATATTTCAATCGCTATACAAATTATGTCTCATTCATTAATATTTAATGAAAATATTATGCAAATAGAATTATTATTTCAAAAGAGGCTATACATAATTATAATATCGGCGGTCAATTAAAAAACGATTAAAAGCCAATTTTCATTTGTAATTAAATTTTGAACCACGTCGTGTTTAAATAAATTGAAAACTAAACGGATGTCTCGAAATTACGGGAAATTATTGACTAAAATTTCTTCACTACTCCGTAGAAAGAAAGAAACGAAAGAAAAAGTCGGTTATAAAACATTACAGTGAGCTAATTAATTAAAAGCCCAGTGTAGCCATCGAGTAAGAGAGCGTTAGAAAAACGAAAAAAATTGTTTAAACTCGACAAGCTTGCGTTGATTGTCTGAGTGATACCAATCGATTACTTATTTATAACCTGAAGTGAATCATTCACACTCATTACACTGTCGCATCTTTATCGTAAATTCTGTCGGTAACGATGCTTCTTCATTTTTCTTTTCCCCATTAACTTCTGATTTTTACCTCTTTTATCCTATTAATCTTTTAATGGGATGTTACTAAGCTGCTATTTATATCTTCTTTAGCAATAATATTGCTTATCGTATTTTATTTATAATTTATTACAAATATACAAATAGACGGATAAATGCGCATACAAATAAAATGTGCAAATTCAAAAATTAATGTTTTCGAGACTTTCAAAAAGTTTGCAATGAAGACAATGATCAAGAGATTTTTTTTTACTTACGTCAATTTAATTTAATTAATTAATCTATATTGTTATACATGCACGCGCGTATAAAAATGTTACTACTTTAATTAATTTGAATGATAAAATTATAAAAATGAGCAAACATAGTTGTACTTACATATTGTTTTAAGTATCTGAAAAATCGGTGGAAAAATATCAAACATCATCTTGTATTTACTATAACTGAATATTACTATATGTGATTGAAAATCAATTATTTATGATTAAATTATATCATAATCATGGCCACTTTAAATCTTATTATATATATATATATATATATATATATATATATATATATAGAAATATAGGATATACGTATTATGTATAATTGTACGTACTTAAAATAATTTATATAGTATTTATAATAAAAATATCAATAATCTCCTATTAAATAAAGTAAAGATTCCCAATCTTACAATTATGCATTAAAGTAATATATATCCGTGAATGTTAAAAATGCTTTAATAATATCAAAATTAATTTGTCAACGGTAGTTTGTATGCTTACTAGCGCATGTTAAAGGATGCGCGAAATACTTAATTTTTCAGTTTTCTCCGATATTATTAATCATATCTTGTATTTTTATTATCGCTGTTGTTTGTGCTACATCGGTATGTTTTTGTTCAATTCGTTTGACGTTGAATTCGTCACTGCCTTCCTCAAATCATAAACTTTATCGCGAGGCGAGTAAGCCAAGTCGAGTAAAGAAAAAAAAATCCCTCAATACCGCCAATTGGTAATTGACGGCGCGTGCCGGCTTTTGCATTATTATCTTTCATCGTGAGCATAGTTGCGAACGTTTTGCTCATTAATTAATGATAACAGAAGATGTTGTTATACAAGGCAAATGACAAAGCGCGAGGCGCAGCACGCGCCCGTTTAACCAGCGAAAAAATCTCTTTTCTATCTTATTCGAATACCCGATGATGTAACGATTTTTGATACTCGCAGATACTTTTAGCCGTAACCAATAGCGAATATTGAAAATTAATAACAAGGAAATAAGCCAATTTAATGCAATTATTACTTCGTATTATAATTAAGTAGGCTAATTTTGCTTCTCTCGAATCACGTAAAAAAGTATTTATACACATGTTTACGTTATCTAAAAAACGTACCGAGTTAACCTATCGCGAAACGACGATTAAATACAGTTAGATAAACGGTTTAGCGCACTGGTTTTTTCAAGACATTTATCATTAGTTTATAATAATGAAGGTTCTTATCTTTTTATTTTTTTTTTTGTGATTTCTTCGTTTATTGCACTCGTAAGAAAAAATATTATAAGCTTTTAAAAATAACAACAGAAAAAAGAAACGAGTATGATAATTTTTCAAAAGCTTCGTTCTTAATGCTTCAATATAATTTTCATATAATTTTAATATAATTCAAAAGAATATCTTATGAGTTTTATTGTATTATTAATTGGCAAGCGAAACGCACGATGCATTACTTTAATTATATATTGTTCAATATAATCTCACGCGTCCCAATAATACAAAAGAATTTGCTATGAAATTACATTCAACATAATAATAATAATAATGATAATAATAATAATGATAATAATAATAATAATATAATAATAATAATAATGATAATGATAATAATAATAACAATAATAATAATGATGATAATAATGCCGCTACATTATAGTATTAACAAGTTATATAATACACCTCGAATTAGAGATTGTTAAACCTTTTAACGTCCAATGCATTTATAATTATTAATAACAATCCCGCGCGCACATTACGAGCAATCAAAGTATAGCTAAATTTTTTCATTTACAGGTGATTCTGTATAAGCTCTTGAAAATCTGGGGCTACGACAAAATGATGGAGCACTTCCGCAGGATAAGAAGCTTTTACAAGGAGAGAAGAGATCTCATCGTCAAAGTAGCGGAAGAACACTTATTTTTTTTTCCCCCATTCTTTTTTATTTTCATAAAAGTTTTATCTCCTCCACCTCGAGAACTAGGTAATTTTTAAAGGTGTGTTAATGCCACGAACGGGTAATAAATTTCCTCCCCTCTCCCAATTCCGATAATCTTCTTACGAGATGGGCCGATAAACTAACGAAATTTGAAGTCTTTTAATTTAATAACGATATATTTTAATGAAAGCGAAAGTTCGAATTGTCCGTCTAATTAAATATTGTGCATTTAGGCATAGCAGAATTCTCAGTGCCGAGTGCCGGATTTTTCTTATGGATAAAGGTCCCTGGTATCGAAGACACATGGAAAATGGTAATGCAACGAGGCGTCACTCATGGGATTCTCGTGGCTCCTGGTGCTGCTTTCATGGCCGACACCTCCAAGCCTTGCAACGCCATCAGGGCGAGTTTCGCTAAAGCTTCCTACAAGGAAATGAATGTGGTGAGCTTAATCGTCTCCTCGAGCTTCACTCGATTCTCAACCTTCGGCCGTCATTCAACCAAAATTCTACCTTAATTCAGCTTTCCCGTTCCCAATAAAACTAATAACCGCATCTCCAGGCCGAATTAAGCCAGTGCAGCGAGCCTGGCCACTCAAACTTGTTACTCGGGTCGATTACCGAGTTAAATAATTTCTACCCTGACATTTAAATGCCGAGAGATTAAAGAGGTTGGATGGTTTATTGTTCGAAGGCCATCGAACGGCTGGCGCTGCTCATCAAAGACGAGTTGGCGAAAAATAGGTCGATCTTGAATGGCAACACGTGAGGATTGAGATCTACGGATGAGGAGACACATCGGACGACCTTTCACCAATCAGCAATTCGGCTGAGGGCCAAGCCGACCGCTGGTAAGCCGTGGAGCCTCCGACGGCCGAGTACGCGACAGTCGATAACTTACCCATTGATTGCACTTGATGATTTACCAGCTACGGCTGACCTCTGGATGCGCCTACGTTTTCGCGATTCCTTACCCATGATGAATTGTAATCCCCGGCTGTACCTACTTGCTATATATCATTATTATCATTATCATTATTATTATTATCATTAATATTATCATTATCATTATTATTATCATTATTAATATTATCATTATTATTATCATTATTATTATTATTATTATTATTATTATTATTATTATTTATTATTATTATTATTGTTATTATTATTATTATTATTATTGTCGATAGGCGGCCGATAATTCTCGTATAGGACCTCATGGCAGATACGTTAAGAATATAAGTTTAGCTTTAGGTTGTTCAGAATCGCTTGTTTGTAAGCCTTACGATCTTCTCTAAGTATTGGCAAATTAAGCGTGTGAAGAAATCGGAACGATAGTTCCTTGATTTCGGGTTATTTGAGTTTACGTAGAGCAAACACTTTTTCCTACACGATTAATATGATTGGAGAAATGTGAATTCCTATTTATGTTTTTGTTATGCGTGCTTAATTTATTTAAACTCCCAAATGAGTAAGTATTATAATAAAGAGATTTTAATCTACCGGAAGCTCCACTGCCTTTCATTTATTGAAAATCCAATGCCCACTCCATGACAATGTTATGTCTTATCTTTACCAAAGTTTATTCAACGAATTAATTAATTTAAAAATCGATCAACTGAAAATGATAAACTCTGTTCGTCGCATTTTGTAAAAACATTTAACGTGCTTCATTTATTACTCCATATACTCAACTCTTTCATACGCAATGACGCGAGAAAAGATTTATTACAAAACTATTATTAACTAATGTAACAATCATAACGATTGATTGATGAAGCTCAATTTTTATTCTTTTAAACGTTAAAATTATTAATTGAAATCATTGATTTATAAGGCTTAACCTTAGTTCTTTAAGGAATGTTGATACTACTATTATGCTTTCAGCCAATAAATGAATATTTCATGCTCAAATGTTCGTAATCAAGTGTGCAAAATTAATTTTGCGCCAACAACATTGCTATCTTCATCGATAATTTATTTGGTTTACGGGAATAGAAAGAAGTTCTCAAATTGTAAAATGAATTAAAATTTTTATGTTTATTTTAGGCCAACAAATAATAAGTATAATTGTTTACTATCAATTTATCATTTTTCGACATTTGGTGGGAATTAATTGTTATTTCCTTAATTAATATTTACCGCAATATTAAGCATCATTTTCAAATTATGTATATTTTCAAATATGTTGAAGAATTTGAAAGCTATTTCACACTGTAATCCCATCTTCAAATAACAATAATAATAATATCATAATAAATTACTGTATTGATGTTTTAACAAATTAAATATACAATTAGATAGTATGCATATTTTCGTTGTATTCACATCTATTAATATTTTACTCGTATTAACCATTTACCTACAAAACCAATTTTCTTTTTAACCCGCATCTATATACGAATATGGGTAAATTTTACAATAAAAAAGTACAATAAATATAGTAAAAACATCGTTTTAATATTTGCGGTAATCATACAGTGAGGTAAGAAATATACTTTTTTTGCCGTGATGATATTTATTCGATTAATAATACTAAAAATTTATTTATACAAAAGTAGAAATAGTAAACAGAAGAGAGTAATAAAGAATAATAGAGTGGGTGAATTTCGTTTGTTTTGCTTTATTTATTGCTTGATAAGTTACAAGATGTCGCGCCCCCGGTGGTGGGTCCCGCTGTTGCTGCTGCTGCTGCTACTGCTGCTGTTGCTGTTGCTGGTGGTGCTGTTGCTGGTGGTGGTGGTGGTGCTGCTGCTGCTGCTGCTGCTGCTGGTGGTGCTGGTGGTGCTGGTGGTGGTGCTGCTGCTGCTGCTGCTGCTGCTGCTGGTGAT